ATATGTGCAAGATAAACCATAAGATATTTATTATAACATCTTAAAAGAGCAAAAACGTTACTGACTGGTTAAATTAATAATACATCTACTACATGATGGACTACTACATTTCTAACACAAAAAAATTAGAATAAAGTTTTTTTAAACTTGAGATCTACTGCACATGTACAGTGACTTTTAAATAATATAAAATACTTTTAATGTCAAGGCAAAATGCCCACAATTTGTTGAGTACAAAAAAAAAAAAAAAAAATCAGATTTCAAAAACGAAACTATAATAATTCCAATTTGTTTAAAACAATTCTTTATAAGAGACTAAAAATCTACATACAGAAATATTAAAAGTTATTCGGGTAGTGGGACTATCATGTTCATTTTTTTTTTTGATTAACCAGAATTTTCTAACTTTTAAAAATGAACATGATTAATTATATATATTTAAATTATTTTTTAGTTGTTGATGGACCTTTATTTTTAATTTATTTATATGCAGTGCTGAGAATCAAATCCAGTGTCTCACACATGCTAGACAAGTGCTCTGCCAATGAGCCACAACCCCAGGCAATTATTTTATATATTTGAAAAAACTTTTTAAAAATCCTATTTTTGAGAGTCTTTTTTGGGGGGGCTGGGTTGTGACTGCTGCAGCGGTAGAGCACTTGCCTGGCACGTGCAAGGCCCTGGGTTCAATCCTCAGCACCACATATAAATAAATAAAATAAAAGCATTGTGTCTAATTATAACTAAAAAATAAATATTAAAAAAGAGTCTTTTTTTGATTTATATATTATAAAAAACAGTTATTTGGGGGCTGGGGTTGTGGCATAGTGGTTGAGCACTTGTCTGGCATGTGTGAGGTACTGGGTTTGATCCTCAGCACCACATAAAAAGAAATAAAAATGAAACCAAGGTATTGTGTATATCTCTAACTCAAAAACAAACAAACAAATAAACAAATAAAAAAAAACCCAAAACAGTTGTTTTAAATCTCACTTCCTCTAAAATGTGAAAACATGAGGGTTTATAAATACTAGGTCCACCAAATCTAATGGTAAGAGAGGAGGCTAGTTTTACTTAGCATTTCTTGTTAATAATTAGCTTAAGAAGTTATTGTTATCATTTCACTAAACATTAAGAAGAATGAGTTCATGCAAATAATTAATATACATAGGTCAGACCTCTCTAGAAGAGGTTGAAAAAATTCTGTAACCAGCAAAGGGGAATATTTACATAATATATATTTTATTATTGTTTACAAATTGCTAAATCTCTTTAATTCTTATGCACACACATCAATTCACTTGAGCTCATCGACCTTGTCCTTCCCAGTGTCCCCTTTCTGCTTTTGACCCCTTCTTCCAACGTGCCTGACTTGTGCTTGCTCCATGTCCTGTTATGTCCCCCATTCCCAGGAATGTGCTGTCACTCCAGAAAGTGAGAATCTCACTCTGTCATCTTCGGGGGCTGTTGACCAGTCATCCTGCACAGGGACACCACTGTCTTCCACCATTTCCTCCCCCGAAGGTACATAAGGGAGCAGCTGCGTGTGTCCCCCACTTAGTCCACAGCTGTCCATCTTATATTTGCAAAAGAAACATTTAATATTCTAGAATTCTCTGATTAACTACTGGAGAAATGTCTCTGCTTAGCTGACTCTATTTGGCACTTGCTGAAAGTCTCCACCATCAGGGTACAATACTCTGTTTTTGGTACATTTAATAAAGAGCCATAGATCTATTTGCTTATTACTTACTCCTATATATATTACTTGTTATTTCTGGTTAATAATTCAGGTCTGAGGATGGCTCCAAATTGCTGTCCTCTGCACTCCAATATATTAAATTTTTCCTAATCCTTTCACTGTCAAAATAACATTTAAAAATTTATTAGTTATTGATGGACTTTTATTCATTTATTTATTTATATGTGATGCTGAGAATTGAACCCAGTGCCACACATGCTAGACAAGTGCTCTACCACTAAGCCCCAACCCCAGCCCCTCAAAATAACATTTTTATAATCGTGTGAAGTGAGGAAGTAGCTGAAAGTTTGATGTATTAAATCTTTGCTTTGTATGTTATTTTGAACTGTATGCTACCTATGCTGGTTTCTTAATTTACTTCAACGTGTACTCAAAATAAATTTATCTAAGACATTTTACTTTAATACACCTAAAAGCTACCTTTCACCTATAATACCTTCTTCCTATTCTTTGTTCCTTCATATTATCGTTTCTTTTGAAGTATTCTTCCCTGAGTTTTTTTGATATTCAGGATTGAACCCAGGGGCGCTCCACTATTGAGCAATATCCCTTTCCCCTTTTAAGATTTTATTTTGGGACAGGATCTCCTTAAACTGCCCAGACTAGCCTTAGACTTATAATTCAGTTCTGCTTCAGCCTCCAGAGTAGATGGTATTACAAGCATGTACCACTGAGCCCAGCTCCTCTATGATTTTTTAAAACTGCAAATCTGATCTTATAATTATTCTTGCTTAAGATCCTTTTAAGACAAAATCCAAAACCCTTAATGTTGCTTAAAAAGTCCTGTACAATACAGATTCTCCTGAACTCTCCCAGTTTATCTTAGTCTACCTTCTCCCACCCTCTCCAGCTACACTGACACTTTGTGGTCTTTGCACAGTGGTTTGCTTTCCCTGAATCATTTTTGTCTTTACCACAGAGCTCAGTTGGCGCTTATTCTTTTTTTTTTAGTACCAGGGATTAAACCTAGAGGTGCTTCTTAACCACTGAACCACATCCCCAGCTCCTCCCCCTTTTTTTTTTTTCCTTTTTTTAAGATAAGACAGAATCTTACTAAGTTGCTCAGAGCCTTACTAAGTTGCTGAGGCTGGTTTTGAACTTGTGATCTTCCTGCCTCAGCCTCCTGAGCTGCTTCGATTACAGGTGGGTGCCACCATGCCCAGCAAAGCTTATTCATTTTTAAGATTTGAGCTCAATGTCACTTCCCTAAGGAAGCCTGCCTCAGGATCAGTTTCTTCTGGTTTATGTTTTTACAATAGCTCCTTCTTCTTCTGTTTTTTAGGGCTTAATTTTATAATTACACACTTATGTAAATTATATACTATGGGCTAGTTTTTGTTAGAAAACTGGAAATCCATGAAGGCAGGGTCTATGTTTTGCCTACCATTTAAATATCAGTCCTTAATTAGCATAATTCTTGACTCAATATGTACACAGAGGTAATTTATAGGGGATATAACCAATTTAATTGACAGGCTTGCTGAATGTCTTTTTAAAAATATTATTTAGTTGTAGATGGATACAATACCTTTATTTTATTTATTTATTTTTATGTGGTACTGAGGATCAAACCCAGTGCCTTACACTTGCTAGGCAAACGCTCTGCCACTGAGCTATAACCCCAGCACAAGCTGATGTCTTTTAATGTTTTTTTTTTTTTTTTTTTTTTTTAATTCCTAAGAAATGAAAGGAGTCACACTTGGAAATTAGAAATTCAAACTTTAAAACACTGCAGAAACATGGAACAAAGTCACCTTGAGAAGCAAAGATCTATGTAGAATTAGGTGTTTAAAAATCTTGGTTATTATTTGGTAGACAAGTCACTTAACACCCTTAAATCTAAATTTCCTCATTTATAAAACAGAAAATAGAATTAGTCCTTCCCAGCTCATATAATTATTGTGAGGACCACAAAGAGAAAGAACTGTAAAACACTAAACAAATGTTATCTAGTATAGTTATTACTGAATAAATGAGGCACTGGAAAGGTGCATCTGCAGGTAAGACTCATAAATTTAAGCAATATACAAAAGATAAACCTGAATCAAGTTAACAATTGAATTTCCTAAGGTTTGCTACTACTTAGCATTCTTTTTTAGGGAAGAAAAGATAAAAGATGATTTTTTTCTTTTTTGATAAAACATTTTCCTGATGTTAAAGAAATATATTGCAAAACCAAGTAAATCCTATCCAGTTAAAATTTTGGGCAATGATGAGATGGGAAAAGCTACTATTTACTGAGTTATGTATGGAGAGCTATCTGTTCAAAGTTACACATGTAGTCGTGTGCTGCATCACGAGGTTTTGGTCAATGACAGACCACATGTATGATAGTAGTCCCATAAGATTATAATGAAGCTATAAAATTTGTATTGCCTGGTGACATCATGGCCTTAGCAAAGTCATATTTGTGGTTATGCTAGTGTAAACAAACATACTGTGCTGCCAGTTATATAAAATTATAACCCATACAATTATGTATAGTACATAATTCTTAATAATGATAATAAATGACTATGCTACTAGTTTATATAATTATTATACTATTCTTTTTAGCCTTATTTTAGAGTGTATTTCCTTATACTTATTAAAAAATAAAGGTTTACTGTAACACAGTATATCACATTGTCCTCCCAGCAGCCTCATACAGCCTATGTTCTCCTTGTCCTGATTACATCAAGAGGCGGTACAGAGTCATTGACCCAGACCATTTAGGTTTGTGTAGCACATTCTATGATGCTTGCATAACCCCAAAATCACCTAGGGACAAATTTCTCAGAACATATCCCCATCATTAGGCAATACATGACTATATATAAATACTCATTTAATCCTCTTAAAAATTTGATCAGGTAAATACTTATTATTATAATCTTCATTCTGCAGACAGAGAAATAGAGTACAAAAGGGTTAGATAAACTTGTCCAAGATTACACAAATTCAGAACAGGATTTACTCTGGCTCCAGAATTCACACCGAACTATTTTCAACTTACTACATTAAACAGTTCTGATTTCTCAAGGTCTCCATAAAATGTTGTTGATTGAATCAAATATTCACTTGCCAAATACAAAGAAGGCAATTTCCAAAACTGAGGGATAGAAATAAGCAAATGAAGGCTTTACAATTTTAATCTTATAGACTTAAAATAGACTATATTCTTTCTCCTTTTAATACTCTAACTACATTCTGATTTTAGAAAATGCGGTCAAAATAAAAATTGGTTGTATACACTGACCAGGATATGATCCACTCGGTCTCTTTTCTTTCTTCCAAATTTCATCATTTTCTGCCAATCAGTTTTGTGGTTTGGCTCCTTTTTGAGACTAAACAACTTGAGTACTTCAGTTGTTATGAAGTTCTGCAGAAACAAAGGAATGAATGAAACAAGAACAACAAAATTCCTGAGATTTATGTGTTTACAATGCAGTGGACAAATTTGTAGTAAGATTACAATATTTATGACAAAGGATCACAAATTTCTTCCACTTACAGTTCCACTTAGAAATTTAAAGGGAAAAGCATCCTAAATGCTCAGATTTTATTCACTTAAAATAATTTTTGTACCCAGGTATGGAGGCCTGTGGTCTTGGTTACTCAGGAAACTGAGGCAGGAGGATCTCATGAGCCCAGGAGTTTGAGACCACCCTGGGCAACATAGTGAAACTCCATCTCAAGGGAAAAAAAAAGTTTTTGTTTTTTATACAACATATAAAATAAAACCCACTGAGAATCCATAAAGAAAAAAATTACTCCATAGTTCCCTTTGCCTAATTAGCTAATTCCCAGCTGATAAAACTACTAAAGAAAGTGTAAAATAAATATCTGAACTAGAAAAATTCTAAAGAAATTTTTGCAAGCAATGTTTTATTAGAAAAAATGCAAGCTTTTATCTGGGATAGTTTATTTTGAAGCACCAAGATCTGAATATGTCACACTAAAAAGATTCTAATGAACACTTCAGTATGAGAAGCATAATTTTACTGTTAACAATACCTTAACTATCCACCTTAGACACTAAAATTAGTGGGCAGCATGCTAAATTGATGCACACAGTTTGCCGATGGCTAGCACATTACCTATCTTTATTTCAATTTGCTTTATTACAGTCAAAGTTGCTTCTGTTAAAAAACGATATTCTCACATATAGGTAGAAAATACCAATCAAAAATAAATAAAGGCATGAAAGGAAGATAAATAGAGGAGAGGAGACAGAAAAGGGTAGAGAGGAGGGAAGGAAAAGGGAGGCAAAATGGGGATTGAAATCAAATTCCTTGCATATATTATTTTATCAAAATGAACCAAAATAAATGTATAATTAACATGCTCTAAACAAATTAAAAAATAAAATAGCAGCAAAAACCCACAATATTCTCAATTGGGGGAAGGACACTTTATGAATCAGAATTATCTGAGAAGATTCTTGAACTACCTATTGTGTCCCCAAACCCCATCTTTCTCTGCCTACACACAGACACATACAGAGTACATTAAAGAATTTATCCACTGTGGAAGGGTGGAAGAAATGGAGCATGCAAGTGTGTTTTGAAAAAAACTACTTACTTTAATCTAAGTCAAGGGCTGGCAAATTTTTTTCTATAAAGGAGTGGATGAATGGAAATAGTTCAGGTTTTTGTGGACCATGTGTTTTTTTTTAAACGTTATTGTGTTTTTGAATACTTTTTTAAAAAAAATTTATTTATATGTGGTACTCAGGATCAAACCCACTGTCTTACACATGCTACGCAAATGCTCTACCATTGAGCTACAACTGTAGCCTCCCATGTGGTCTTTGTTACAACTACTCAACTCCCCCAGTGTGCCAACAAAGCAACCCCAGATAATATGTAAATAAATGGGCATGGCTGTGGTCCACCAAATATTTACAAAAAGACAGTGAGCTTGGGTTTAGTCCAAGGGTCACAGTTTGCCAACTCATGAGGTAAACATACATCTCATAAATATCTATTGGTGTTCTGTCAGTATGTAGTATTTTTAAAAGGCTTTCTATTTCTAGCCTGGGAAACACAACTCTAAATTCTTGCTACTTGGGCAGTGGTAGGGTTATGCAGTGGTAAGGCTCTTGCCCAGCATGCTGAGGCCCTGGGTTCCATCCACTGCACTGCAGGATGTAGAGGGGGTGGTGTTTGTTACTTCAGAATGGTACTAGAACCAATAGCAGTATCACTTGGGAGCTTGGGTTAAAAAGAATTTCAGCTCCTAACTCGGACCTATAAGAATGTCCATTTTCACAAGATCCCCAGATGATGCGATGCTTGTTACAGTGGGAGAAGCACTGCTCTGGAAATGAAACCTTTGCTGAATTAAGGAAACATGAATAGACAGAGTGAATGCCACCATGTGACTACAAAATTTTTAAGTCCTTATAGCTTTTGAACACTCGATTTTTTCAAAGGTTTCTAAAGTAACAAAATTTCTAAATATCATGTTATGATCCTTGGATCCTTCCTATTTCAAATCCACATTACCAACTAGAAATCTCTAAAAATCAAAGATGGAAAAGTAACATATGTATCCAGGGCTGGCATGTTTTCGTATGTATTTTTAGAACCTTATGCCTATCACTAAATTTCCAAAATATTCACCTAAAAACACACATGAGTTGCAATAATTTATCTCCCTAGGTATTTCTTAATTTTTCCTTAAATATCATAAATTGTGGCATATATATAATAAAGATGACCACCAAGTTTACAAAAGTTTGGCTCCAGAATTCACAATGAACTCTTTTCAACTTACTATATTAATAGTTTTGATTAGGGTTGATTAGATATAGGGTTCTTTTTGGGCCTGTTGTTTACAGAATCAATGAATTAACAAATATTTACTGAACACCCTCTATAGGACAGACCCTGAGAACATAAAGGTGAATAGTGTACAACAGTGCCTGCTTTTACAGCATTTATAGAGTTTGTGTAAATGAAATCAAATAGAAAAGGAGGTATTTTATAATTTGCAGCTTACCTTGATTTCCTTCAGGTTATTTGGATTTTTCACTCGTCGGAAATAACTAGAGTTGATTCTACATGGCTTCATCCAGACAGGTTGATTCAAGTTGGGATCCTCAGCAAATATTTCCTCAAAAATTTCTTTTGTTAAATCAAAAACCGCCTTGATAGAGAAAGATTAAACAAAATGACTAAGAATCCGCATTATAGTGGGTGAGATGTTTAAAAGTTAAAGTCGTCCTTCCATGTTACATACCTGTTTATAGACCCTTTTACTAGTACTTTCTAGATCCAGTCCCTTATTGGCACAGCCAAGCAGTTTTGTAGGAATACTAATGCTGTGAAGGTCATGGCCTAATTCTTTCCATTTCCAAAGTTCTTCTGCTGCATCATGTACAAGAATTTCTACTTCCTCTGCAGTATGTGGGACTGCCAATAATGTTTCACATGGCTTCTGGGGTGGCCTTTTAGGTTCTGCCATTAAAGGTACAATTGTTTCTTCTGTCTTATTTTTTTGGATCTTATGAGAAGAGCTCAATCCAAAATCTTCATCAAACCAGTCTTGATCATCTCCTAAAGCACTCAGGAACTCCCGACTGATCTCAAGTTCAGCAAGTCTCTTAGCGAGCTCTTCCTGCCCACTGGCACCAAACACTGGGCTCTCCTATAGATATAGAATCATTCAAATAGGGGACTATTTAGTGATTCTGATTTCTTAACAAGTTTTTAAGATAAAGTATATCTTTAATATTTCTCTATAAGCAAAATTAAACAATATGGTAGCTACTAGTTAACAAGAAAGACTTACCGTTCCCACTAATATGCTTACATAGACTTATCATCCAATTTATAATAAAACTTTTGTTGATTCATTTTTTTGTTTTGTTTTGTTTTTTGGGATATCATTATTCCATTTCTGAAGGACTATCTCTGGGATAGGGAAATGGAATACAAAAACTTCTCACCTTTGGTGATTATCTGGCTCAAGTTACTCAAAACCATTACTTTTGCTCAACTGTTGTCTATGGGTAACCTAAACAAATTGATGGCCTGGGTATATGTCATAGTGGATATATTTCAGTTTTAACAGAATCAGCATCACAACTGGTAATCTCTGCAGGGCAACCATGACTAAGTAGTCATGTAAACAATTTCATAGGTGAAAAAAAAATTGCACTGACAAGAACCATTAGAAAGTTCCATAGGATAAATATTTTCAGTGAACTCAGAAGGGATCTAATTGTGGACAGTATGCAGGGGCTGTCAACCCAGCAGTTTGAATGGATGTTTTGTTCCCATAAACTTGGCAGGGCCTGTGACAACCCTATAGTGACTACTCATGACATAACAGAGGACAATTATACTTCAAACAGAAAAATAGCTACATGGCCTTTAAAAAGTATCTTTATCTAATGGACAGCATATCAGAACAAAATCTATCTGGAGTCAAAGAATTAAGACGTACCACACAGGCAAGGTAAATTGACATTTTTCTAGATGAAATACTTACAGGTCTGGGACACATATCTGGAGAGGAGATCTCTTCTTTCTCGTCTTCTAATTCAGACCTTAAGAAGCAATTTGGAACACTGGGTGACTCTTCCTCAAGATTGTGGGACGGGTCCTGGGATGATACTTTCTTTTGGTCATCATCAAGAAACCCCTGATTACTCAGCTGAATTTTCTCATTTCTGGCTTTCTTGATTTGTTGTAGCTGACTGACTGTGTCCTTCACAAAGTCTTTCAGTAAACTGTCTGTCAGTAAGCTGACTGTCGCTAGTTGTTGCTTTGACTTCTTTTCCTCACTCAGTGATGATTTCAGCTGGGCTTCTAATTGGTTTTTTTCTTTTGTTAGAAGGTCTAGAAGTGGAGTAGAAAGCTTCTCTGAAACTTCGGAATATAGGTTCTCTTCCTTTTCTGTAAACTGCTGTTGTTTATTCAATTCTTCAGAAAAGGTATTATCTAAAGTATCATCTTCTGCAGTGATGGAAACCTTTCCTGTGGCATCAGAAACAAGGTCTTTGTTTTCCTTTGAAGAAATCAGTGAATCTGCTGAAGTTTGCTGATGAACATGGGCTTCAAGTACCCCAGAAATGTCCTGTGTATTGTCTGTTTCTACTTTAAGACTTCTCTCTCTGTTCACTGAGGCTTCTATATTGTGCATACTAGGTAGAGATTTCTCATAAAAACATCCAATTCCATCTTTTTCTATATCTTTTGAACCCTCTGTGTCTTTTTGTTCTTGACTATAGTTTTGATATTGTTCATTTGAATAAGAGTCTTCATCTTCATTTATGTCTATATAGTCATCAAAGTTTTCTAGAATATGAGATATTTTTTGAGGAGGAGCAAAAATACCATGTTTCTCTTTGCATACAAAATATACAATGCCATCATATGTTCCATTGTTATTTCCTTCAGGTTTATCCAACTCCACTCCAGCCCAAAATCCTTTAGCAAAACTAGTTTCACCTTTGAACCGAAGAGTTCCTGGTTGAACATTGCCAATCAACACCCTATCACCAATGTGGAAATCAAGTAACTCATCTGCAACAGAAACTGAAGCCAAGGAAGGGGCTTCAGTAACCTCCTGTTCATGTTTCACATCACTGCGTTCCTGACTTTTCATTAGCTCAGTAGGGGACTTAAGTTCTAACAGTCTTTCAGAATGAACATTGCTATGAATGGAAAGGCTTTTCCCACTTAGGCACTCACTGATTTCATCATCACTACCAAAGCCACTGACTCTACTTTTAGAGCTCCTTGTTGGCTGTGACTTATCTCCGCAAGACTGAGAGTCTTTCCTGAGTGACAACAAAGATGACTTTTCAGAGTCACCTTTGTACAATTCAGCTGAAATTTCTTTCTTGAAAGAAGACACTTCAAAATCTTCAGAGTATGACGAGTCTTTTAGAGCAAAATGATGTTCTGACAAGGACAAGTTCTTTTCCTCTTTGTTCTTTTGCTCATGAATGTCTTCTCCTGACTGCATGTCTGCAATGTGATCCATATCTTGATCTGAGTTTCTCTCTTTTAACATTTCCTCTTTTTTATGAAGATTTTCAATGGATAATCTAACTAAATCTTTCTGAACATTTGCAGAATCTAAAGGAAAATCTTTCTTTGAAACAGTTTCAGATGAGTCTTCCTGTTTCAGGTCTAGTTTCAGCAGGACATCAGATTTTCCAGACAGTTTTGAATAGGCACCTTCAATCTCACTCTCCTCCAATTTTGCATATTCTACTTCTTTTATTTTTGATTTTTGATTAGATTCTTCAACCTTGGCACCCAACACATCAAGAATTATATTAGAGGCATTCAATTCCTTAAGCAGAGGTAATGAAAGTATATTTTCTAAAGAATCTCCAGATTCTGCCCTGGTTTTCCTTGATGATCTGAGAATTAGAGATGGGGTCTGCAAATGTTCTTCAGTTCGACTATCCAATTCAATCATTCTCTTTGCATATGAAGATAAAGACTTTTCTGATACTGATCTCTCAGAACCTGACAATGAAGCATCTTAAAGAAAAAAAAAATCACCACATCAAAAGTATTTAATCACAATCTATTGATTTCTAAGACCAAACTAAATAAATGCCAAATCTTGGTGAAGAAAAACTCTGGTCAATAACTATGACCTGTTTTGTTTACCATATACAAGAACATACTAATACATATGTTCTTGTATATGGTAAACATGAATATAATATATAGAACATTTAAAAATGTTTTAAAGTTTGGAATAATTTCTTCCGTGTTGTATTATAAAGTGAATAAAATGGAGCTAAGTTTACGCAGCCATTGCTTTGTACAATCATTCTCAAATCATGGAAAAACAAGATTGTATGACGGATATTAAACACATTCTTTGAATAGAAAAATAAGGAGGAAGGTATTTCCTAAAAGAATAAATTTCCCTGGAGAGTAATTAAGCTCTTGAATTAAATTAAAAAATAAAAAGAAAGAATATTTCTGCAAATATAGCACTAAAGAGCCAAATTTGCAAAGTACTAGCAAGTAGGACAATTAAGATCAAGAAAACAAAACACAACACAACAAAAACCAAAGGCTAAGGTAGGAGGATCACTTGAGCCCAGGAGTTCAAGACCAGACTGAGCAACATAGCAAGTTCTTTTAATTAATAAATAAGCAAAAATTTAAGATGCTATAAAATGTATTTAAGAAATTCACTTTTCAATGAAAAAGTTGTACAGGTAGAATTTCACAAGACTTTGCACAAATCCTTAGACTATGTAGACACAACTTATTTTCTCTAGTCACATACCAACATGTTCAGCAATGGATTCCAAGGATCCTCTGGAACGTTCTGGTTCTGTTAGTGATTTCCAGGTTTTTGCTGTTTCAGATCTGAAGTGGAAAAATTAATGAGCAGAAATAAATATACTGCTGATACTGTAATAAATGACAATCAAAAGCAGATATTCTTAGACAACTATTTCTTTCCTCTTCTCCACAGACCATTTTCATTGTGTCTACTTTTGGCATTTGTTACTCTGAGTAGATCTTGTTCTTTTTTCTACCTATGAATTTATATTCACAACCATCCCAGCTGCCTTTCTTTCTGTCTGCAGAGAGGAAAAAAATGTGTCTCTCACTTGTCCAAAGCTAAATTGTTCACAGCCTCATGGATGGTACTTCTCAATTATCTACTCTATTTACTATCATCTTTAATAGAGTCCCTCCTACTTTTTCTTCAATGCTAGGGATTGAACCCAGGACTTGCACATGCTAGGCAAGTGCTCTACTTTTACTACAATCTTTAGTTTTCTACCGGGAGAATGTTTTTTCTCTTCCTCGGGTTATAAATATTGCTAATGTCTCAAAAACAAAAACAAAAACCCCCAAAACATTTTCCTCTTCGATTCTTCACTTATTCACCGTTACGGCCCTCTCTTATTTATTTTTTTTTAAGAGAGAGAGAGAGAGAGAGAGAGAGAGAATTGTTTAATATTTATTTTTTTAGTTTTTGGTGGACATAACATCTTTTTTATTTTTATGTGGTGCTGAGGATCAAACCCAGCGCCCCATGCATGCCAGGCGAGCACATTACCGCTTGAGCCACATCCCCAGCCCCCCTCTCTTATTTTTTATAGTTAACAGGAAGGGCTATATTTACTGTCTTCATTTTCCTGATTCCTCCTTTTCCTTTGTTAAACCATAATATTTGACTTTTGCTTCCTACCTCCTAATAATGCCCTTAAATGCTGCTATTTATCAAATTCAGTTCTTCGATATCTTTTATTCTCTCTGAATGCATACCTTCCCGGGTTCAATCACCATATATACCTACTGATTATCCTCATATTTTTAACCACAACTTTCTTGGAAAATTCCACTTATATGAACCACAACATCTCAAAATTAATATTTAAGGCCCAAATCATTAACTTCTCACAAAAAGCTATCTGCTTTTCCATTTAGGTTAGTGGAACCTTGACCCAACTGACAAAGAGAAATGTGGGAATCATCCCGGATTTCCTCTGCTTCCTCATCCAGCACTTTAACGACTCATGTCTACTTCTTAAATATTCCTAAAATGTATCTCCGATTTTCTATTCTTATTTCTGCTGCTTATTTTAGGCCTGGCTTAGATTGCTTTTCTTCTGCCTTCTGAGCTTACTCTGTTTATCATTCCTCCATACTAAAAACAGAAAAAGCTCTTCAAGTCTTTCTTTGTCTCTACCTTTCTACCCACCCCCTCTTCTTCCTTTTGTACTGGGGATTAAATTGAGGCCTTCCACATGCTAATAAGCCCAAGCCCTACCATTGAGCTATGCCCCCCAACTTATAAATAAAATTTGTAGCAGTTTGATTAAGAAAACTATGGTGCTGAGGGTATAGTTTAAAGGTAGAAAGCACTTGCCTAGCATGTACAAAGCTCTGGGTTAAATCTCTAGCACCACCAAACCAACCAACCAACCAAAAAAACAAAACAAAAAAAGCAAGAAAACTATAAAGCCATTTCAATATTTTTACTATATAGAAATTAAAATAAAACATTTATAGTAAAATGAAAAAATGCATAGGTAACAAAAATACACACAAAATGTATAAAAAAATTTGGAAGGAAATACACTTAATTGTTCATATTTGCTATTTTGATATAGCTGGGTATGATGATTTAAACTTTTTTATTGCTTCCCTAGATATTCTAATAATAAAGATAATATCAGCATTTAATACATAATGCTTTTTATGTTATAGGCCCTATCTTAAGTTAAATATTTTAACTCTAATAACAAGTATATTAAGCACCTCTGTTTAATAGGGATATAAACTATTAAAAAACTGAAGCACAGAGAGGTTAAATAATTTGTCCAAAGTTAAATAGCCAGCTGGTAGAGGAATCTCAGATATGCTAAATTAATTGTAAATGGGCATGTATTTCTTTTGTAAAAATAACAAAAAATATCAGAAAGTAATTTTTAATACAACCTTCAAAGGCTCCATATCTTCTAAAAAGATGAGTGAGTGAAAGGCTTTTCTAATTTGGTTTTTACTTATTTTTTCAGTCTCTTGTGCTAATTTTAACAAAATCTTATTGTGATTGGCTTCTATGATATGCCGATCTCTCTCTCTCTTTTTTTTTTTTTGCTTTTGATAATTCACAAATGCCTTCTCTTTTAAATGTTCCCATTTCTTAGTAGTACTGGTTTGCCTAATCCTTGCTGTTCAAAAAATTTAGTTTAAATATTATAACCTAACTTTAATACACTAAAATGTATATTGTATATTCTAATGTTGTATATGTTCCAGTGTTGCTACTTAGTATTTTTTGTATTTACTTCCTGGCTGAATCATATTTTATCACCTGCACAGAACCATTATCTACTAAGCTATTCATTCATTTTTTTAAAAAAAATATTGTTTATTTGTTAATGGATCTTTATTTATATGTGGTACTGAGAATTGAACTCAGTGCCTCACACATGCGAGGTAAGTGCTCTACCACTGAGCCCTTATCTATTCTTATATATATATAAAGATTGTTTCCAATGTTTTATGACTATAAAAGACATTATGGCAAAAATATCCATGCATATAGAGATTTTTGGTACTCCATATTTTAACAAGCTAATTTTCCAAAAGAAGGATCACAGGGTCAAAAGTTACAAATTGTTTTTGACTTCTAAAGCATTGCCAAATTGTTTTTCAAAATATCTATACCAACTTTTGATACTAGTACTAACAATACTTGAGAGAAAACTATTTTCATTATACCCATCAGACTGCAGGATAAAACATATTTAAAAAATCTATACCTTATTAGAAAATTAATTTGCATTTGTCATACAAAACATCTTTACTTTAGTGATGCTAAAAATATAAAACAATACTTTTATACTTAGAAGATAACTTCTACTAAAATCTTTCCTTATTCTTTCTCAAACCAGGCAGACTAGATAAGTTATCATAAATTCCTACCTGTGTAGTGGGAGGGGCTTGATCTTGGGTTTTTCAGAAGCTGAGGAGAGCGTTTTAATCTGAGGTTTGGCTGTTGGTGATGTTTCCAAATCTCGGCTAAGCTCTGCTTCAGTTTTCTTAATAAATTCATCATATGACTAAGTTTAGAAAAATCAGAGGAGTTACTATGCAGAATTTTTTTAAAAAAAGGTTTTATATTATAAAATAGTACATTAAAAAACTTAAATGGCATAATTTAAATGTTCAGCCAGTAAATAAGATTTCACATAAAATCTCCCTTCCTGCCCTCTGGGTTTGATCACCAGCAACGCTCTCTCTCAACCCCCAAAAAGGAATAGTAGTCTCAATCCACACAAGTTCGATCCCCATGAAGCAAAATTCATACCCTGCCACATTAAAAATTTATTTAACTTTCACATCTAAGGGGAGACCTCCAACTATTATACCTTTCCTTCATTTTCTTGGCTAAAATCCTTACTTTTATAATTCTCATTTTTTGAGACAATTGCTGTTTTGTTCAACACAGCAGATCCAGCCTTCTGAGCAGCTTGTATTACAGGTGTGTGCCACCATATCCAGCTCATCTTTATTTAAAAAATTTGTTTCCCACTATTTCCTAACAAGAACTCTCCACTATGGTCACTATATCTTAATCACTTTTCCTACTTTTAAAAGTATGTACAAATTGCTATGTCTGTTCTATCATTATATTGTATATACACTGTGAAAATATTTATTTTCTCCAGATTGGTTAACTGGTCTATTTTCTGTGTGGAAGATAGTATAAAGTTAAGAGAATTTAGAATTAGGGATAGATTAAAATGCTAGCTTTACTACCTATGACATACGTGTCCTTGGATAAATCACTAATTTTACTGAAAACTCAGTTTCCTTATGTGTAAAGCAGTGATAATATCCCTACCTTGTTGCTGTGAGGATTAAATAAAAATATGTGTAAATAGCTAAGTTCCTGGCACTCAAATAGATACTTCAATTTGATGATTAAATTAGTAAATGCCAGAGGCACAGGTGTTACAAAGGACCAATAAAAGCACAGAAATTTTGGCTAAAGTAACTGAGCTTCTAACACTTAAAGAGCATTAAGTGTGAAACCAACTGCCTTAAAAAGTTGAAATCTATTATTATTGGACATATTCAGGTAGAAGCTGGATGATAACCTTGTCTGATGATGACATGGGAAAGGACTCTTGTGATGAGTAAGAGGTTCAGAATGATTCTATAATGAACACTGTGATTTATTATCTTATCACTAAGCTTATTTATTAGCTTATCACTAAGCTTGCAGAATGTTTAATAGAGAATTAGCCAGAAACAGGAACATCTAAGAGAATATGCATATTGGAGGTAAGAGGTCATAAGAGCCCCAACTAGCACAACAGCAGTAGGAATGGAAAGGAACAAGCAAGGAACTTTAAAAAAGAAAAATTAATGGAAAATGGACTAAAGGAAGAGGAGAAAACAGAATGAGGAAGATAATAAAAACCAGGTTTCCAGCCTGGGGGACAGAATCAGAAAGGTTCCTAGAAATGGGGGGGAAAGTCAAACTTAGGAGTCATGCAAACAGCACAGTTATCACAGTTATGTGGCATGAAGCACTACTCTGCTTAAAAAAAAAAAAAAAAAAAGCAGAAACAATTCAATTACCTAGAATTACTTATCTACCATTATTAATGATTCTTCATTTAAGAGAACATGGATACCAATCTTGCATAAGCCTAATCATTCAGAAAATTTTTATTTGAATATTTTAATACTCAACATTTTAATATTTAATGTTTGAAGCAAAAATATGCTTAGAAATCTTCAGATTTTTAAAAAAGAGGATAAAATGTACCACTACATTAATATAAAAAAAATTTTAATCCTTTACTTTTGAACAACATTAAAAACATTTTGGGCTTTACATGTACATTAACCTTGATATTTAATATTCTTTCTAGTTGTATATGAACACAATACCTTTATTTTATCCATTTATTTTTATGTGGTACTAATGATCGAACCATCGAACCCAGTGCTCCCCACGTGCTAGGCAAGGCCTCTCCCACTGAGCCCCAACCCCAGCACTAACTCCCTTTTTCTAATGTCTAACCTCTAACTGTTTGATCAGACTGGCTTCTTGGGCTTTCAGTCTTTCCTTTTGTCTTTTTTTCTGTTCCTTCTTCAACTGGTCCACAACTGATTTTCTTTTCCGCAGCTCATCCTTTAGAGCTCTGATTCTGCCTTCAATGTCACTCTGATCAGATGTAGTTTCTGAAAGAAATGCAAAATCTTCAGTTTTGACTAAAGAATAGTTAACTTAGTAACCACTAATGAAAAGCTGTAATATAATACTTCATTTAAATGGTCAATCTAATACATAAAATTTAGAAATTTGAGCTTCTAAAAAATTTAATAAATGATTCCTTTATTTTCCATAAGTTCTTTTTTTCTTAGTTCTTCCTATTGATTTTCACTTTCTAATTGTACTATTTTACTATCTGAAATTATAAGTAAATCTTGAGGTATGAAGTAAATCTTGGTAAGATATGTAGCTGAAGTTGAAAATTTTTAGGTTAGAAATTTGTAGATTCTACAAGGAATTATTTCTATTGATAAGGTAATCATATTTTACTACCCATTTCCTTAATTATTAACATATAGTTTTTTTTGGGGGGGGGGGGGGGGGGGGGCAACAGGGATTCAACTCAGGGGCAGTCTGACCACTAAGCTACATCCCCAGTCCTATTTTGAATTTTATTTTGAGACAGGGTCTCACTGAGTTGCCTAGCACCTTGCTTTTTGCTAAGGCTGGTTTTGAACTTGCGATCCTCCTGTCTCAGCCTCCCGTGCAGCTGGGATTACAGGTGTGTGCCACCACACCCAGCTAGTTTAATATTTTTAAAGTTGTATTAAACCCACTGGAATTTTATCATTTCAGATAGACTGAGTCATTAGCTGATATCTTAATACCACATTCTTTGAAAGTTCTTAAAATATCTAAAATTACTGAAATGAAGCTGGCTAAATCTTGTTTTCTCCCCAATAGTACATACATACACATGAGATACCAGTCATGGTAATATCATGAAAAAGCCATGTGTCATACGCATGCCATGAAAACAAACAGATATCATTTAAAAACACTGCTTATTCCACTCGACATGGAAATTACATAATATAAAAATGATTGTTCCTCACACCTCCTGGAACCATACAATGACGTCATTTCCACACACTAATGTTGAGTGAGATGTTTAACAACCTTAGAACAGAAATACTATTATATACAAATCTGAAGACTCAGTACAACATTGCATTACAAACCAGATTTTTACCAGGAACCTCATATTAAATTGTATAAGAACTAGCTATGCTTTTAAGTCCTCTGGGTATAGACCAATGAGTGAAATAGTTGGGTCAAATGATGGTTCCATTCCAAGTTTTCTAAGGAGTCTCCATACTGCTTTCCAGAGTGGTTGCACCAATTTGCAGTGCCAGCAGCAATGTAGTGAGATGAAATCTTGGAGTAGTTTTGATTTGCATTTCTCTAATTACTAGAGATGTTGAACATTTCTTCAAATATTTGTTGATCAATTGTATATCTTCTCCTGAGAAGTGTCAGTTCAATTCCTTTACTCATTTATTGATTTGGTTAATTCATTCTAATGCAAAAGATTATAGTCCCTTTTAAAAAATTTTATTTTAGATGTTGATGAACGTTTATTTTATTCATTTATTTATATGCGCTGCTGAGAATTGAACCCAATGCCTCACACAGGCCAGGTAAGTGCTCTACTACTCAGTCACAACCCAGCCCCAAGATTATGGTCTTTTTAAAAAACAGTGTGATCTAAATACCTGGGCTAGAAATAACAAAATCTGAGTTCCTATCATTTCCATGACACTGACTTGAGGTGGATTAGGAAATTTCTACCTGTCTCATACCAGCAGTAGCATTATACTGAGTCTTTATCGTGGGCAAAGTTCACTGATTGTTGATTGACACTCTTTAAAAAATGAAGTAATGACAAAGACCATTTTTAAAGTCTCAATCCACTATCTAGGTGTTTCACCTGACCAATTTCTAGAACTGGTGTGACAATTAAATAAGGTACTTAGAACACGTGGCATAGTGCCTGAAATATTATAAAAACAAAACAATAAAAACAAAAAAGTTATCAGCCTAAGTGTCCATTATGGATAAATGTGCAACGAAAATGTGAATTATATAGAAAATGGAATACTATTTAGCCTCAAAAAGGAAGGAAAATCCTGTCATTTGCAATACAGATAAACATGAAGGACATTATGTTAAGTGAAATAAGCCAGGCAGAAAGATAAATACCACAAGATCTCAATTATATGTGAAATCTAACCAAGTTGAACTCATAGAAGCAGAGAGCAGAATGCTGGTTACCAATGGATGGAGTGGGGCTAAGGAAATATTTGAAGAATATGAAATTTCAAGTGCTCACTTCGGCAGCACATACACTAAAACTGGAATGATAGAAGATAAGCATGGCACCTGTGCAAGGATAACATTCATATTTAAAAAAAAAAAAGAAACAAAGAATATGAAATTTCAGTAGACAGGAGAAATAAGTTCAAGAGATGATTACAGTTAATAACAATGTGAGTAGATTTTAAGTATTTTTATTACAATGACAACTATGTGAGGTCATGTACATGTTAATGAGCAGCATTCTTCAATATATGTTCAAAACTCCACATTGTACATGATGAATATTACAATTTTTTTTGCCAAAGTAACTTAAAAATATTTTTTAAATGGAGGTAGTAACATTATTAACACAAAACAAACATTTTTATGTAGCCATGTTTTGGGTAGTATATTTCTTGGCTTAAAACTAAAAACAGGTGATAAGGAGACAACAACTGATCATCTTCCTTCCTCAAGTTTTCTTTTAATTTCTGAAGGAAACGATTGACTGGTTTCAGCATTAAAATTTTCTGAGTGCTTAGTATTGGCTGGTTTTATACTGATTTAATTGATGATGCTAGTACAAGGGCTGGAAGACTGCAACTTGAGCTAAAAATGATAATCTAGGATAAAGTATAAACCCATAACTTTGGATCTCCTAAAACTGTGTATTTGTTAGCCTGATATGAGTTGTGTGCTTCCAAACCTTTGGGGTGCTGCTTCATTAACTATTGTAGGAGACCATTACACTCTTACAGACTTAGTTTTAATTTTGCCCCCAAAATGATTATTTTAAATTAATATATTTAAAAAATTGTATAAGCCAACTTTGATTTTCTAATAAAAAATATTTTTTATGGTGTGAAGACTCAATAGCAATTGATGAAAAACTTAGTTTTAAATAAATGACCTTGGGAAATGTTTGTATTTTCAAGTACTAACTAAATTTGTATTTTTAAGAGTCCATATAAAAGGCTACAAAAGTGACTGACAATACATTGTGATCTACCTAAATTTAGTATTGCAGCATAGTATTGACTGATTGATGGATTGATTGATTGTAGGTCGACAGCATGCCTTTATTTTATTTGTTTATTTTTATGTGGTGCTGAGGATTGAACCCAGTGCCTCACACATACAAGACATAGTGTTTTTTAAAAATAATCAATAACACCTAAGAGAATCTCTAAGAAAAAAAATAATTAACCCAAGCCAGCTCTCTAAATGATACTATGTTGTTTTTATGGAAATCTCTCTGTAAGATTTTTTGGGGAGGTAGAAGAAATGGGAAGTGGCAGGCAAATGATACTTTAGTTTGTTTAAACACATCAAGACAAAAATAATCTGGACAGAATAATTTGATTATTGCTCATATGCTAACTGTATTTACTTAGTTGATAACAAACTCTCCATCACTTAAGTAAAGGTGTTATATAACCCCACCACATTAAAGTTTATAAAGACTGTCTATAATTATTTCATCATGAAGAGGTAGAATGCACCTGTAGTTTAGAAATCTCAGAGCTATTTTTCTAAAATTAGTCTTACTTGGATAAGTTTTATCAATAAAATAGTATTTTACATATATTATCATTAATGCTTAGTACAGAACTTATTCAGGGTGGTTAGAACTTTATTCCATTGCTCCAGATAGAAACAGATAACCTGGTATGGAAAGAAAATTACAAGTAGCAGATCCAAGATAAGAATCCATGTTTCCAAGTACATATCAAATTTGTCTACTGACATGTTATTCAACTAGCAATAACTATTCACCAGATATGTAAAATATATAAAAATATTAATAACTTTCCAAAGATAAATATGAAAGATAAGATTCTTCAACTGCTTGACCCAAACTGTTTTTTATAGATATATTAATTACAACATTATTTATATGTGTGTATATATATATATATGTATTAAATTATATATATGTATTAATTACTACACTATTTGCTAATGTGAAAAACTTGAGAAAATCTAACTGACCATCACTAGGAAAATATTTACAGTACATCCACCTTTTGAAATATTATGTAGATACTCAAAATAATTCAGGCGATCTACTGAATATGGATGTGAGGATGTGTCATGATTTACTATTGTCTAAAAACTTGGAAAATGAAAGCTCAGGATCAAAGACCCGTCCCTGCAAAGTTTTTCCCCCCAGTTTTTCCTTACTATTGTATGTCTATTCTCAAAATAAAACTAAAAATGAGCTCAAAAGGTAATATATTCATCATACCCATCAATATAATCAATGTAGTTATACTCAATACAATATTACTCTTCTTCATTTTATATAAACAGATCATTGTCTTTATATGCTTCCTGAGGTCAACGTACTCCTTGAAGTCTTCTAGAGTAAAGGTTGTTCATTCTTTTGTAATTATGCTACAGAGATTTGTGGGTGGAGGTTATGGGAAAACAGCACTCCCCATTGCCAATTTGTAATCTATTGTTTCTATTACCACCACCACCACCCTTTTTTTTAAGAACTGGGGAATGAACCCAGAAGTCTCTACCATTGAGCCACATACTCAGTCCTCTTTATTTTGAGATAGGATCTCTCACTAAATTGCTGAGGTTGGCCTTGAACTTGTGATCCTCTTGCCTCAGCCTCCGACTAATTGGGATCACCAGTGTGCATCACCACACCCAGCTATTTTCCTCAAATGAGACTTGTGCCACCCTGTTCCATCATGGTTACATTATTCAAGAAATATTTAATAAATACCTACCGCATGCGATGCAAGAGGTCCTGGCACTACAATTATTAATAAAATAGACTCTCATCTTCATGAATTCATACTCTAGTAGGGGAGACTGCTGAGCAACGGCTGATTACAATATGTGTTGTCTGGGATGACATGCTGAAGTACAGAGCATTATGGAAATATACAGGTAGTGCCTGACACAGAAAAAAACTGAACAAATGTTTGATGGAATAAATGTCCACTAATACAAGAGAATAAAAACAGTTTGTCATGTTTTGTGAAAACAGGGATATAATTATCAATGTCAAACAAGGAATTATATGATTTAATCTTGGCAAGTAAAAAAACCTTACAAATGCTACAAAGGATAAGAGTGTACTAGCATATGGTTAGACAAAATTTATGAAAGAGGAACTCCAATGTAGTACAAAGAAATCAAACTCCTCATAATTAGTCTTACCTGACTGTGTCATAGATAATGACTCATCTGACCAACTATAACAGTGTTGCTGGGATTTGGCAGGCAGACGACATATTCCTCCAGTCCTATGACTTCCTTTGCTAGACTCCTGTTTTGACACAGATGTGCAGCTTTTGTGAGGTGACTATATAAACAGAAAACCAAACAGAAATTATTTGTGATATGGATGTAGAATTCTATTTAAAATTTGAGATACCAGCCAATTAAAGTTAATATTTACAAATAATTTTATTTTATTTTTTTTACATTTTGTTTTTTAACTTTATTGAGGTGCAATTCTTAAACAATAAATATACAATTTGATACATTTTACATATGTACCCACCAGAAGCCATTGCCATGATCAAAATAATAAACATATCCATCCCACCCCCAAATTTTCTCATGCTCCTTTGTGATTTTCCTTTTTTACCCCTGCCCCATCTCCAGGCCATCACTGATCTGCTTCCTGTCACTATAGTTCGTATTCTCCACAATGTTAGATAAATAAAATTATACTCATTTTTGTCTTATTTCCTTCACTCGGTATAATTATTTTGAGATTTATCCATGTTGAAGCATGTATCAATTCATTCCAATTAATTATCCATTCACTATTAAAAGCATTCTTAAGTATTTGTGTGGACATATACATTATCAGTGCTCTAGGATAAATACCTAGGAGTTGAATGGATGGGTTATATGACATGTGCATGTTTAATTTTTAAAGGCATTGCTAAATGATCTCTAAAATGATTGTACTGGGACTGGGGTTGTGGCTCAGCAGTAGAGCCTCACCTAGCACATGCGAGGCACTAGGTTCCTCAGACCACATACAAACAAACAAACAAATAAATAAAGGTATTGTTTCCAACTACAGCTAAATTATATATTTTTTTAAAAAATGATTGTACCATTTACACTCCCACCAGCACTAGATGAGACTTCCAGTTGTTCCGTGCCATCATTAGTACTTGTATAATCAGTCTTACAAAGAGTTTTAAATAACTATGACATAAAAAGTTTACAAATTCTACAAATGGATTAAGACCTCAATTTCTCAAGATGGGGATATGGCTCAGTGGTACAGTGCCTGCTAGCACACATAAGGCTCTGGATTCACTCCCCAGCATTGTTTAAAAAAAACACAAAAAACAAAACCAACCAAACCAAAAAAACCCTTGATTTTTCCTATGCAGGGGTGGGGAAAGCAAGCTTTAAAAAAATTTATAATAAATTAGAAGTGCTTACTGTGATCGTTACCTTCCTTAATCTTTTAATTTAATCTAAAAATTTTATAATTTTATGGGAGGAAAGGAAGGGGGAAAAAAGAGCATAATAAGATTGTCCACAAAGACTATTACAAAAGATAAAATTTCTACTCTGACATCACACAGAAGCGAGAATGCCTGATTTGATTCCATGCTTTCACTTCCTACCCGTCACTTTAGACAAGTTTCCTAGCCTGCTAATCTTCAGAGTAGGAATTATAATTGTGTCTATAGGATCATATGAGAATTAAATGAGATAATCCATGTAAAGCATTTAGTATGCTGTCTGGAACTAGTTAAATCACACTCAATAAATATTAGCTTTCAGTATAAAAAACACTTTGAGACACTACTAGTTTTAATTTCCTAGATACATTTTCCTGTGAGCAAAAAAAAAATTCATTTTTAATATTCAATAAGTTTGTAGCTATCATGAACCTCAATAATGATGCTGTATAGAATTGTGTCAAAATGCAGTTTGGTCGTAAATTCCTAGAAGGTAGGAAATATGCTATGAGTAAATTATCTATACAAGAAATCTATTAGTCATATTATAAATTTTAAAATGACCAACATGATAATTAATTAAAAGCTTTTAAATATGTGCCCAAGAATATTATAATACAGTATTTTCAACATAACAAGGAATTAGCTCTTCATTGAATAAAAATATTTTTCCTCCAAACCTTTCAGGTGCTATACAACATACATGAATCTAACTCATTTTTCAACAGGGGGCATGCAGATAATTCTTCACATCCATATTAAAAATGAAGATTCTAAAAAGGATATTCTATTTTTTAAAACTGATAGGCACTAACTATGTATATGTTTACTAAATATCTAATTGTTATGCTAATTTCTTTATACACTTTATAAAACCAAAAATATGCTTCTATCTTTTTCTTAAGAGACAGAGAGACAGAGAATTTTTTAATATTTATTTTTTAGTTTTCGGTGGACACAACATCTTTATTTTTATTTTTTTTTAATGTGGTGCTGAGGATCAAACCCAGTGCCCCGCACATGCCAGGCGAGCGCGCTACCGCTTGAGCCACATCCCCAGCCCAATATGTTTCTATCTTAATTTTTTTTATCAGCCCCTTTTTCTTTGAAGTACAAAACTAAGGATAATACAGATAATCTAATTCTAATAAAGGCCATTATTCTAATTTAGAACCAATCATTTCAGATCTATTTTAAAGAGATGAAATCATTAATTTTATTCTGATTATGAGTTAGCAATTATTAGCTAAATTATAGTAAAGGCACTCCAGTATGATTTAAGATCTTATTATTTCTAAGACAAAAACCAGATTTTAGAAAGAACTTGTGCTGTTCTTACATATTATTTTTTTATAGACTTTAGAGGTTCCTATCCTTTCAAATATTAACAGACTTGACAGCATATAATTTTGTAACTGTCCCTAAAACTATAATTCATATATTTATAAATCTATAGGAGTAAATTAAAAGCTTTATTTCTATTCAAATGTTATATTCTATATACTGTAAGTATGGGTGATAGTCAATGCTGTTATTTTTTCTTTAATACCTTTATTTCATTTATTTATTATGTGGTGCTGAGGACTGAACTCAGGGCCTCACATGTGCTAGGCAAGTGCTCTACCACTGAGCTACACCTCTAACTCCTCAATGCTGTTGTTAACAGGAATAATATAACTGTTAATAAAAACCTTTTAGTCAAGTTTCTTTTTAAAGGAGCTTTAAGATATATAGATATAGATACACACACACACACACACACACACACACACACACACACATATTAACTTACATGTTTACTAGGAGAAGTAGAAGATTCTAGTTCCTGTGAAAAAACCATTTCTTCAGTAAGTATACTGTGATCTGGACTCCCTGGCTGTTCCTGTACAATAGATTCAGATGGTATGTATATAACAGCAGGGCTACCCAATTCTTCTGGAATAGAGCTTTCACTGTTTAGATGAGAGGAGGAAGGTATTGGAGATTCCTCTTCGCTTGCTATTTCTAGAAAGAGAGGATACAACAAGAAAAAAATATATATAATCTTGGTCAGTAAAGAAATTAAACTGTTACATTTTACATTTGTTTTTAATATAAGATCACTACTAGCATGGGAAGCTTTATCATGCCATTTAACATTTACTATGAAGTCTGTCTGTTTAATTAGGAATTTTGGATGACACCAACTGAGAGAAATATCTACCACATATAATCAGCATATCAGACAATGACAATCCAAGTATGAGGACGCAAGATAGATAGTCATGGCTCTCATGTATTCCTTTAGCAGTGAAAACTGGTCCGACCATTTTGGAAAATAATTTGGTATTGCTTGAAAAACATGAAAAAAAAAAAAAAGATTTTTAAGGTCTGTAAAAATTCTTTTGGAGGGGCTGGGGATGTGGCTCAAGTGGTAGCATGCTCACCTTTAGCATGCATGAGGCACTGGGTTCGTTTCTCAGCACCACATAAAAATATTTTTTTTTAGTTTATTTATTTTTTAGTTTCAGGTGTTTATTTATTTTTTAGTTTCAGGTGGATTTTTTAGTTTTTTAATCCACCTGAAACTAAAAAATAAATATTAAAAAATTCTTTTGGACCTAAAATCTACAAAATAAGTTTATTTAACATTAGGAATATCTATGCCTCAGATATTTTACTTTAACAAACAAGGATGACATGATGTATAAAAGCATTTCATTTAAAATTTTAAAGTTTTTATTTTTGGTGTTGCTGGTGATCAAACTCAGGGCCTTGTACATGCCAGTTAAGTATTCTACCTCTAAGCTACATACACCTCCAGCCCTAAAAGGTATTTGCTAATTATTGTGTATAAAGTATATCATAATCAGAATGTTGGAATTAATGGTTTAGAAAATTGTATTAATTTTTAAGGCAGGAGGGAATAGAATCCTTTACATTTCTACTTTGTAAATCTCAACATAGATATTTTTGTTTCATAATAGTGCTGCTTACACACTAATTTTAAAAATTAAAACAATATAAAAACTAAGGAAGAAAATGAAAGTTACCTGTATTACCTCCTCTAATCAGATATTTTTGTGGAAGACTTTTTTGTTGTCTTTTTCCTCAATTAAGAATATTTAATAGTAGTACAAGAATGGTAGTCCAAAAAAAAAAAAAAAAAACCTTCAAAGCGCAAAAGGATGTAAAGTGACTACCTCACACTCATCCCTAACCAATTTCATCTTCCCAATTTCTATACCTCAAAGGTAAACCAGTAATGGCCAAGTTTGGTTGAAGTATATGTGTGTCTTTCTAACCCTTTTCTTACATTTCCTTGACTGTTTAAAAATAGTTTTTAAAATCTGTGTTAAAAATCACATAAAATTTACTACCTTAATCATTTTAAAGTTTATGTATGTGTATGCTCAGTGGCATTAAGTACATCCCTCTCCAGAACTGCTTTATCTTTCTGAACTAAAACTCTGTAACAACTCCCCACCCTCCTGATCCTCAGTCCCTGGCAACCACCATTCTGCTTTTGGTCTCTTATGATTCTGATTACTCTAGGGACCCCATATAAGTGGATTCATATGCTCTTCGTCCTTTTGAAAGTAGCTTATTTCACTTAGTGTAATGTCCTATAGGTTCATTCATGTTGTAGCACGTGACAGAATCTTTCTTTTTATGGCTTAACAATATTCAATTGCATGTATTTACTATATTTTGCTCACTCATTTACCTGTCAATATACACAAAAGTTGCTTTCACCTTTTGGCTATTGTAATAATGCTGGTTATACAAATACCTCTTTGAGATGGCACTTTCAAGTTTTTTTGATATATACCAGAAGTGAAATTGCTAAAACACATAACATTTTAATTCCTTTGAGGAACTGTCATACTGTTTTCACAGAAGCTATAATCATTTTACTTTTTCACTAGCTGTGCATAGGTGTTCCAATTTCTCCACATCCTCGCGAACATATCTGATCTTCTGTTTTTTTAATAGCCATCCTATGGATGTGAGGTGGTACCTCATTGTATACCTGACTTCTGAAGACAGAGTTACATGTCCATAGGAATCTGGCAATATTTGGACACTTTTAAAGAAATATGGACAATTATTGGCCAAACTTCAGTGTTAATAGTCATGAACCACAAAGCAATGTTTCAGTCAATGACAGACTATACATATAACAGTAATTCCATAGATTACAGTAGAGTTTGAAAAATTCCTATCACCTAGTGATGTAATTGTTGTAAAGTCAGCATAATCCATTACCCATGTTTGTAGTGATACTGATGTAAACAAACATACAGTGCTGCCAGTCATATAGAAGTATAGCACATACAATTATGTACAGCAAATTATATTTGATAATGATTGTCATTGATTTATGAATTCACTAAATTATACTTTTAAATGTTTTCTGAAGCCTTAGCATGTTTTTAATGCCCACTGGTATTTGATTAATTTCTTGCCTCAACAGTACTTTGTCATTGTTTCTTTTTTTGTATCAGGAACTGAACCCAGGGGCGCTTTACCACTAAGCCATACCCCTGGCCCTTTTTTATTTTGAGACAGGATCTCATTAAATTACTTAGGGCTTCCCTAAATTGCTAAGACTGGCTTTGAACTTGCAATTCTTTTGCCTCAGCCTCCGGAGCTGCTGGGATTATCGGTGTGCACCACCACTGTGACCACAAGTACTTTGTCAACTAAAGTAGAACCCACAAAATAAAATCCCCAGCCTCCCCGGCAGCTAGGACTTAAGCATCTCCAATCTGATGTCCCTGTAGAAAAAGTTCATTTTGGAAGTAATCTGAAAAGAAGGCTCCATGAAGAATTATTTTAGGTGGTTTTCAATATGGAGTAAATTTTTCTGTAGTTACAGAGTCCCCAGTGCAGATGTGACATTAGTAGGGTACTTCTAATACAATGTCAATTTTCTTTAGGGCTTTCTGAGTTGCTGGGACAGGTTTTACATGATATGGTTTTAGAATTGTTCCTGGAAGCTAAGTATCGATATGTGTCTCTAGTCATCTCAAAAATTTTGTCAACCACTGAACCTCTTTATTTAAAATTACTTTTTGCCTGGTCAGAGTCAGCTTTAGATGTTGCAGCAATATGCTTAATGGGTACACTGCAATTTATTTCATTATAATGTATTTTTTGACCTTTTTCTTCTGCTTACATCACCTAACTTTCAAGCTATTCATAAGCTTTATTTGACAAGATTTAAAATTGCATTGAAATAACTTTTACTAGACTTATCCACTTGTTTTTCTCAATGAAGTTCCAAATAAACAGAGATGAAAAAGAAAAGGTATTTTTATTCTTTTGCAGTACTTGGGATTTAACCCAGGGGTTCTTTACCACTGAGCTACATCTACATCCCCAACCCTTTTTAACAATTTTTTTTTTTTTTTAACTGTATGTGTTTTTATGGCATGTACCACCACACCATAAACATACATACAATTTAGAGCTGAAAATATTTATAAAATAGCTGAAAACTATTTTTTAAAAAATATTTTTTAGTTGTAGCTGGACATAATACTTTTATTTTATTTGTTTATTTTTTTTATGTGGTGCCATGGATGGAACACAGTGCCTCTTACATGCTAGGCAAGCGCTCTACCACTGAGCCACAACCCTGACCCTGAAAGCTATTTTTAATTTGTCTTCCAACCAAAGTTGCAAAGAAAACATACTATTTTCTATTTCTATTATAGCCCACCATGAAAGATGAAAATTTGAGTCCTTTATCACCAGAACAAATGAATCTCTTTTCCAGGTCCTCTTACATTTCTTCTCAAAATGGAGAAAGAAGTCTGTATGTAGCAAGACTGTTGAGGCTAAAGATTAAGGATGAAAAGCTGACACAGAAGTAATCTTCTGCTGAATAAATTTTTTAAAATTATTAAGGAAATGAACTATATCCATTATGTCACTGTATGTACCACTGTATATGTACTACTTTCTATGTATGGCTAGATGATAATTCCCTTAATTTTACATGTTTCTGAATTTTCTATAAAAGGAATCAAACCACTTGTAGTCATTTGCAATGTTAAGTGGTTCTCATATGTCAATTTGTATTGCTGTAATTTTTCATTTTTACCGAGCATGACATAATATGTAAATATAGCACAATTCTGTTCTCTAATAAAACTGTTTTTTTACCTGTTTCAAATATTCCTGCTATGAACAATGCTCTGTGTGTGTGTGTGTGTGTGTGTGTCTTCTAGTATAGCTGGCCAGAGTATATTTATCGATATCCATAACTCTATCTATATGTGTATATCTAACTAACTTATGTGACAGCAAAGGCTTTCAGACTTTTTACACCTTAACCATATTTATCTTTGATGTTTTCTATTCTATCTCAATGTTAGATCGATTACAACCACTTCAGGTGCCTCTAATGGGTCACAACCTACAACTGGAAAAGCACTGCTTTAATGATATGGGAGACAGGTCTACGAGTGCCAAGGCTGAGGTCCAGAACTCCGGAATTTGATTGCTCCCCCAACTCTTGGAGGTATTCTGGGGGATATGCTGCAGCTTGGACATTTGTTATGCTCCAGGTTACAAAGACTAGAAGCCTCGGGATGACATGCATGCCCTAGCAGGCATACTGCCAAAACTTGGTAGGTGAGATGGGCTGGCCACAGCCCAAGGGCCATGTTACTAGGTGCACAGGCTAAAGGCCTCAGAATTGAGCCTGCTCGGTCCACATACTTCAAAAGCAAGGACTTGTGGTGGCTCCAACAGTTGTCTTGCCCAGTACACATATAAAAAGCCTCCAGAGGGAATACAGCCTTGGTGTGTCAACATTCCCTTAATCTGCCTGATTCAAAACAGCGTGCAGCCTCCATGTTGCCCCAACCAGCTGAGTGTGAGCTGAGAAGAAACAGCAGATTTCAGTTTTGGCCCATTATCTATCTCAGTATCTAGTAGTTTCTAACGTAGAAGACAGGGAAAAAAGCATATCAGCTAGGAGGAATTAATGCCTTATTTTCTTTTTCCTTCCT